AGCCATTCCCACTATGGCCACCACATTCCCTCAAATGAATAGACTGTCCAGGAAAGAATACTCCAGACCTCACCTTTTCTGTGGGGAGAAAAATGTAGTCAAAGAGAATGAAGTCAGATGCTTCTCACCTATTCCGTCCTCAAAAACTGACCCATGCACTCTTGCATTGTTTAACCACACTCAGGATAAAATTGGTGTTCCCTGAATGCACCATTGCATGTGACTGTCACAAAAGGCACTAGATTAGAGACTCTGTATGAAGTGACTTAATCTAGTGAGCCTTTTTCACATAGTAAAACACCTACAATGAAGCTAACTAACTTCTGGAGTCTCTTACATCTAGATGGAATTTGCCTAAGAGATCACCAACTTCTCAGAGGGGTGACATCCTGATAAACACAAACCAGAGACCACCTAGAAGGCTCCTATTTCCGGGATATTCGGCTGCATACCACCTAGAAGGCTCCTATCCCCAGGATATTCTGCTGCATACTTTGGAACTTCTGTAAAAGTAGGTAAAAAGATATCACAGCCATCTGCTATAATTTTCCACACACAGAAAATCTTGATACATTGTTCTAGAAAAGTTTTTCCTATGTATATTTTATTTTTCTGGAGTGTATGGGGAAAAGAAAGTGGGAAGGGTGAATGGGGATAAAAGAAAAGGAAACTATGGGAAGAGTTAATGTATTTCAGCGATGTGTTATAGTTACATTCAGTGTCTAGAAAAGAGGTAATTCCTTCTCAAAATTATCTGGTTCTAATACTATTGGAACAAAAACAATCAGACAGACTTCAAAATCAAAATAAAGAATAATAATATTTTATTGGAAAACATAAGACAATAGGGCTTTAAAAAAGTTACATTTGCTATGTTCCATAGGGACAGAGGTTAAATATATATATATATCCATTCGTAATAATGTTTCACAACATAAAGGGTCACCTTCTTGCCAACACAGCACCAAATAATGAATTGTGCCTATCCAAATTTGTGCTTAAAATTTCTGACGTGATACATTGAATTTTAGGATTATATAAATACTTGAAAGATTAGCATAATTTAAAAAACATACTCTTCATAAATGTACCAGCTTTAATTCATATTATGTTACCAAAATCCACCTTAAACATTGACAAACCACAAATGCTGTAATAATTATCTAGGAACAAAGTTAGTCCAATGTTTGATTCCCTTCAGAGGTAATAGGTTGCCAGAACATTCAGAGTGAAGGTAATTATCTAAAAGAACTTTAGAAATACTTTAATTTCAAATTTTGGTCTTTTATTTGTTGACTGTTTTAGAAGAAATTAATTGAGTGTATTTTGATTGATGGAATGCTAGGGCAGAGAAGAAAGTTTCTGGGCACTAAATCTGGACAGACTGTGTCCATATTATATTTCCTGTATTTGGGAGCTTTGTGTGTGATTTAGATCACTGAAGAAGTCCGCTTGCTCTAACAAATTTGAAAATAATCTCCTGTGAATTTATTTGATACTTTATGATAACTTATGATATCTGCCAAAACATGAACATCATAATTTTCATCTTTACTAGGCTAATAGAATGTTATTACTTCGAAAGTACAAAGCATAACACATCAAATCATAGATCAGAATGGAAGTGGACCACTCTGTTACATATGTAACTAGTTATTATTTTAGTTTTCCCCCTTTTATGTTATGCCCTAAGCTAAATAAAACAACCACTTCTAAAATGAGACACAATAATAAATTGTTTTCTAAAAACAAACAAAACTAAAACTGAGCACCTTAGAGTATACAATCATGTAAAAAAAAGAAAAGTGAAGGCCGCACCAGCTTCTCCACCTCTTAGGAAGGTGTGTCAGTAGAGTTGAGCTTGCTGTGTGGTTCTAATGTTGGAAGATCCAGGGAGAAAAACTCCAAGGCAGTGCAAGGTAAAATTTCACTAAGAACAAATGGCTTTTACCAAAGGTTTATGAGTCACTACAAATTGTTTTTAGAAACACCAGAGGGCGCCAGGGCCTGAAGCATAGAAACACAGGGGTAATCTTAACTTTCAGGTTACACACACAGAGAGAGAGAGAGAGAGAGAGAGAGAGAGAGAGAGAGAGAGAGAGAGAGAGAGAGAGAGAGAGAAATACCCACTTGAAGAAAGAAATCACTTCTAAAGAAATATATTTACATGTAATAACATTGTATAGTTAAATACAGAGACAACAGATCATACTTTGGTGAAGATAGAATTTTTGCTGTTACTTCTGAAACAAGAATTGAGTGAGCATTAAGTAGTAGTTTCAAAACGGTTGACACTAGCAATTCATTTAGCACCATATAGTTAGCACCAGAATACATAAAGATTGGTAATTTACACCTAACATTAACAACTGTAGTTTCAAAGAAATTTCAAAATTGTAATCATATGGTGATTGTAATTTTCAGCACCATTAACCAGTGAATTGTTAAACTTCCTCAATTTTAATCAGCATTTTACAATTCTAAGTTGAGCCATGACACAATTTTAAAAATGCGTCTTCACCCATACATATAACAATATAAAACTTTCATAAAAACAAACACAGTTTTAGTTATTAGTAGAAATATAACTTTATCCCCCCCTAAATACTTCAGTAGATAAAACCTTCCATCTATGTTAGGATTTGTATCCTACGATGCCGTGAAACCTAAGGGGAAAGAGAGACACAGTTTCTGCATTGCTTTTCCTTGAGGAAAACATTCAGCTCATCCATTTATTTTTGCATTACTTAACAAGCAAGGTATAGACCTAAAACACTTAAAGTGGTATAAAGATGCACTGGGTTTACTAGGGTAGACTCCATGGATTTGTTTAATACAAAAATATGGCAAATACTTTGTTTCAATTAAAATATTCAGAATAGTCTTTGTTGGTTGGACTCACCCCTTCTTTTGCTCTGCTCTGTGCTAGCGCTGCATAGAAATTAGAAATGACATTTTTGTGAACATCTCAAGTGCAGGTGACAGTAGAGCCAGATACATTTTCTAGAGAAGTTTTGAAGGGCTACAGCCACGATGATGCCAAAAGCAAAAATAATAATACTAATAACCTCAGCCTCTATGTTATTAAAGCAAGCTTCTCCATCATTAAATGAATGCTAAGACCACACCTACGCAGTTCACAAACATTCCTAAAGAGTAGTGCATCAATTTTGTAGTGAAAATCGTGGACTTCATTTTACTTGCTTTTCCCACGTGAAGGCCAAAATGTTACTTTTCTACAAAACAAATAGCATTGGGGGACATCAATGCTGTTAGTCATATTACTTTCTAATGAAAGATTTCAAAATAACAATTTTAATACTGACTATTTAAAGCTGCCTGCATGAAACAGTTTATAGCCAGACCTGTTTCACCTCTGAGAATTACAGTGCAAGCCTATTTACCTAGCACCCCTGTGAAAATGTAAGACATTGTATCTCATTGTATCACACTGATACAAGCAAACTATCATTTGCATTAGACCAGGAAAGAAAATATCTTCACGTAGCCATTTTATATACAAACAGTAAAAATTACAGACAGAATAGCAAATATACCCGTTGTGCTTTCAGCTTAGTTGTTAAGTTTTAAGAGTTGTTTTGTAAGCCTGCAGACCCTAGTTTCAATGTCATCCCATGGACGGTTCATTTGAGGGCTTTTCCATGCAAACCTTCATGTTTTAGAGAATTTTTAGTCTTTAAAAGCAAGGAAAGGCAGAATCAGTTTCAACTTTTACAAGTTTAGATTTTTAAACTAATTCTGAAAACTCCTCTGAACTAAACATTTCTTACACTCCAGGCACTGGATAACATGCAATGATAAATGCAATGAATTACATAGAGATCATGCCAAGGAGAAGCTCTGGTACTGATCATTTTAATATTCATAAATTTCTGTTAATATGGTGAGTTAACCTTCATGGGCAAATCTGTGAACTACATATTAAATGTCATTATTATTCCTTCAATCTGAGAAATCCAATTACTCAAGCAAGCTAGAGAGAAACCTGGAAATGAGAGTTGTAAATTTCTGTTTATATAGTTTTTCCTTCAGGTAACATTAAGGATGAAAACACTCTTAGGTGTGTCAAGCAGTTGCCATCAAAATGAAATTCCATCGAATGGCCAGATGGCACACACCTGTAAGTTTGAAAGTTAGAGGCAAGAGGCTCAGAAGTCAGTCATTCTTGACTACATAGTGAGTTTAAGGTCAACCCGGGCTGTGTGAGACTCTCTCAGGGGAAATGAGGTGAAAAAAAAAAAAAAAAAAAAAAAAAAAAAAAAAAAAAAAGAACTAACTCTATATTGGATAATACTTCTATCCTCTATTGTATTCCTAAAATGGTTCTTTAAATAAGGACCATATATGTTTCCACAAGGCAGGGTCACTTAATAGTAAAACATTTGGTTCCAATTGTCAGTGTTTAAAAGTAATTAGACCATTTGTTTGACATCAAGTAGGCCCAGTATCCAGATGGTGCATTCTTCTTCCATTGAAAGGCTCTAATTAACTATCTGCCATCTTTCAATGCATGCACCTAAGAAATTGTAGTTGTGTATGTTAAATATTTTACAGAACTTTCTTCCGTTGTTTGTCCTCTGAAATTATCAGGTTTACTTGCTCTGTAAAGTCTGTACTCATGTTCACGTGTGTGTGCATGTGTGCGCACACACACATTTGAAATATGATTTGTTCCATGTCTTGGCCCAGATATTGTATTACCCTTCTGAAAAGGACTTTGTAAATTAAGCCATGTATTTCCTAATCTCATGAGAGAAGGTTTTGTGATCATTTACTTGATTTTCATAAACAAAGTTAATGAGGAACTGAAAATCACTTTCCTATAAAAATGAAGTTCCATAATTAGTTCTTTGAAAAACATCCACCAATGGCTATATTAACAAAATTGACTGCATATGGTATTTACAGAGGATCTTGGATATAATACTCAAAAGCTCAAGATAGAAGGTAGATACCTTCTCTAACAAATGGCTGGGGAACCAAGGGGATGAATGTGCCCTCAACTACGCATTTCTTCCTAAAAATCCTTCATCCTTTGTTCGTGGGTCCCAAGATGTATTCAACTCTTCTAGAGCTTCTGGCTGGTCTTTGTGTACCAGCATGCTAATCCCATGATTACTCATGCCTCTTACTTCTCTTGGACTTCATCAGTATTCTGAGAATCTTGTCTTCAGTCTGGCCTATTCTGCTTCAGAAATCTTTGAGCAGTTGTCGATTCTTACATAGTTTGGTGGTTTGAATAATGACTCCCATAGGTTAATATATTTGAGTATAGGATCTTACTCGGACTTTTTTTAGGAAGAATGAAGAGGTATGGCCATATTGGAGAGGGTATAAACTTGTCATTATGGGTTGACTTTGATGTTTAAAAACCCTGGCTCGGTGCAGTCTTACTCTTCTTGCTTCCTGCCTGCAGGTCAGGATATAAATGCTCACCTATTGCTCCAGTACTACACCTCCTTCCTGCCTATCTCCATTTCCCATCAGGATGACCATGGACTAATCCCCTGAAACTGTAAGCAAGCCCCTAGTTAAATACTTGCTTTTTATAAGCTTCTTTGGTCATGGTGTCTATTCACAGCACTATAACTAAGACACCTTCCATATTTCACTTAAATGTTGGAGTTTCCTGGGAAAGAGACACTTCACATGTGAGACAGCAGCATTTATCATCCATTCCACCCTTAAGTGGTTAATATGCTTGTTCCTCAAAATACATGAAATATGATTAGTTAAAAATATTTCATAGCAAAATTACTAGGCTATGCTCTTTTGTGGACATCTCTGATAGCTTCTCGAAGGCAGGAATCACATGTAATTATTTTTGCATTATCAGAACATAACCAGCAAAGTGAATTAGTCAAAGTAATTGTTGAGTAAATAATCAAAAGATTATCTCATTCAAAAAATTTTTAAAAATGAAACTGATCAAAATGAGTGTTATGGAAACTTCCATAAATTCAACATACACTTTAGAGACCCAAATAAAATTAAGTATCTCCAGAACAAATTCTATGATTGCTTAATTAAGTAATCTCCAAATACCACTGATTTGCAAACAATCCTTTCATGGGTGTTGTAGAAATGGTCCATAAGCCCAAATACATTTTTCACTTTTCCTTGTTAGCGATCACATCATATTATTGTCTATGTGTCACATCACACATTATATGTGCGTGCATATATATACATACGTATACATATGAACACACATATATTACAGCTTGAACATACATTTCATTCCTTAGGACATAGTAACATAATTTCCTTGAATATAGGTTTTGGAATCGAAGGCAACAACTATGCCATCACTACATATACAGTCATTTAATTTAAATTTAAGGTCAGAAAAATAGAAATCGATGTTTTGCTTGTATCCAAAACTTAACACCCTAGACAATTGACCACTAAAATGAGAATAGGGTTATAATAAAATATATATAATATGTTCAAACTTCAGCATATATATACATACATATATATGCTTATGAGTTCAAAAGCCAATGCATCTCCCAGAGGAATAAAAAGACAAGCTTATTTAAACCAGTACAAGTAGTTTGACGTTACTCCTGGAAAGCACAGATTGTCGGTACAGGCTCCCCCATAACTCGGAGGACACGATGAACAAGGCACGCCTACTTTGTATGGTGCTTCTCCAATCCAGTTACCCCTAGAACGAAAAAGGAAAAGACGACATTAGTTCTGCTCACTCACCCCACAGTCAGATGACTTCGATACACATGCTCACACACTCCTGACATGTGAGAAGCATATCTTATAAGGCCCTGAAAATTACATACATTTTTTAAAAAAATTCCAAAGCACATTTTTATTCCATATTTCTTCCTTTTAAAATGCTTTCTTTCTGAATTAATGAAGTGAATATTAACTGACAGGTAAGTAATAAAGTCCTATTTACAATTTCTGGTGATATTATAAGTCATGGACACCAGGCCCAATCAACCCACAACATATGTCTTCTACTCTAGTAGCATTCGAGGGCACAAGGTCAGGCCTCAGCTCCATTTAATATGAGAGAAGAATTAAAAAATGGTTTAAATGCTCATAAGATTTATTTTAGAAGTTAGGAAAATTTAGGATTCTAATCTTTATAAAACCAGAAGCCAACTATTCTCATAAGAGTAATGGCTCATAGGCACAAAAGTGATTCTCAAATCTTTTTCCACATAGAAAACCAAACCAGTCAGATTTTAGTTGGTGCTCTTTGAACTTTCATGGTTTGAGTACATACAACTACTTGATTGGTCCTTCTTGCTCTGATGACACAGTGATTACAGTAATAAAGCTAATTCTCTATGCAGAATATCTGAGCAAGGCTATTTCTTCTGGGCTTTTGTTCTTTATGTTGTAATAAAGGATGACAATAACTTATTTTCAGTATCAGACTACTACAAAATGAAGGAAATTAAATGAAGAAGTTTGGTTCTCAATGCTAAAACCAGAGTTCAGCACAACAGACACGGAGGTGACTGGGAAGCACACATGCAGGATATATTAGAAAACCACTCAGCTGCGAATTTCGACCATTCCAACATACAAAAGTATACACAGTAAAATTCACTAATTAACTGTTCATATCACAAACTGAAATGGAAGTTTAGGACTCCCCACTTCCACTTAATAGAGTCTACTGTCTGCCTGGAGGATCGAATTCCTCTCCTCGAGGGTCATTTTAATGACATCATATGCCTATCTAGAAGCACTCCAAGCCTCTCCTCCTATCATGTGACTCATATGTTCTCATCTTCTCTTGAATCTTCCCACTCTGTAATAAAAATCTTTTCTCTCAATATTTATTTATGCAAAGGTATATGAGAACAGTATACAGAACGAGCCCGTTATATAATTTTACATTTTCTAGTTATTTTTTAAATATTATTTTTTAAATAATTAACTCTCAAGCATGTGTATTGAAAACAAAACCCAGAACTGAAAGCTTATTATGTGTAATATTATCATATGTTACAAATTTCTAAAAAAAATACTTATTATTGAATAGAGAAAATGTTCAACAGTAAGTCAGTCAATTCATACATCATCCATTCTTTCATTTTATGTTCAAATTAATTTATTTACATATTATCTGTCTTCTATTTTTCTTTCTTTCTCATTTTTCCACTAAAAATGTTAGACTATAGAAAACTTCAATTGGAAAAATAATATTCACCCCCTAGTCAAGATTTTAAGTCTTAATCACCTATGATTTTTATTAAGACCAGAAAATATTAGTGTTTTTATTAAGACTATAATACATTAATTGTATAATACATTTATGTTTTTAAAGACCATAATACATTAATGTTAGTGCTATAATATATTAATGTTAGTGTAATGCCTTATATTTGGGGCCTATAAATCAATCAATATTATTAGGAAATTTTATTATTTGGCTGAAATAAAGAAGCTAAATGAATTTTTAAAATCTGTCTTTGATGATCTCTTTAAAATCTGGCCAGTTTCTCACAGGGAGGAAGGATAAATGATTAATAAGAGGATAACAAGCATATATGGTTAAAATACAAACAAATGCAAGGTTTAGATATCTTTTGAAAGATATTTTCCAGATTCCTCATTGCAATAATTCTGAAGGAAAATCATAAATTTTCTTTTTTTTAAAGCAAGATTGGCCCAAGCCCACCACCATATCAATGAGTCTTGTGGTTACTTATGACATGTTTTTCCCCTTCCTCCATGTTTTGGAAGAGCTGGAGAAAATCTTTGTCTAAAACTCACTTTGGAAGGCACCGCAAGTATCATAAATCCCTTCCATATTTGACACTTATTCCAAATGGGAAGAGAACTCTGTAGAAATATGGGAAAAAAATACTCATCCTCAGAGTTATAGCTATCAAGAAGGCCTTTTATTAAGTGTTAGTAAATGTTTATTGATCTTTTTAAGGAATATTCAAAAATATAACTAGATTTTGTAATCTTTGACAAGTTAGTATTTTATTTATGTAAGCTAAAGAATTATGATACTGAATAAATTTTAATCTAAAAAAATGAGAGAAGTAGGAAACAAATTTTTCCAATATGTTTCTTTCCTGGTGAAATAGGTAAGCCAACATTCTGGTATTGATAATTCAAAATATTGTCCTGGTAACAACTCTCGAGGATGTTTTCTGATACCATCGATACTGGTGTCAATGACTACGAAACATAGTCTTACACTTAATGTAGCAGAGCAGTGATGGCAAGGAGAACTGGTTGAGTTCAGGTGTCTTAATGTGTAAACCTTACGATTTTAACCCTGTCATTTTTCAGATCCGTGGGGATGATCATACTATGGGAATGTAGCATAGGTGAAGGTGAAGAAGTACTGCAGAATATATTTACTTCTATATCAAAAATATGCCCATCTGGCTGCTGATGTCTAACATTCAGGCTACAGGAAGTGGAACTCAACTTGGTACTTACTTTGGAGCATAGTTGCAGACCAAGTACACTGCACGTCGCCACACAGATCCCCAGACATTCATGTTTTGGCAAGTATGAATTGCACATCCTATTCGATTAGAAGTGGCCCAGACCATCTGCAAAAGTAAATCAATATCTTCCAAAATTGCTTAAAAATTCAACAGTCATTAAAATAAGAGAAAGCATTTTTCTAAGATAAGAATAATAAAAAAAAAACAGCAGTTGAAATGACCTGTGTATAATGAGTGCACATGGGACCAAAGCATCGCATAGGACACCGAGGGTTGCAATCCTGGGGGTACGGAAAAGCATAATCTTTTACTTCGTCATACCATGGCTTGACCAGCTGGAGAATAGAACGATATCTAGATGTCAAGAGAAAGAGCAAAAAAGAACTAAGTAAGCAGGAAGCTATTTAGTGAACTTGTCTTAGACCATAAAAGTGTTATGAAATTGTTCATTAAAACAAGCTCATCGCTACTCCTCAAAAATGACTATCCACTCTCTGATAGAGCTCTTCAATCCTCCTGAAAGAGACAAGTATGAAAATGCCCAATAAACCTTCCTTCATCCAAGTACACGCTAGGCCATTCCAAAACAGAAGAACACAAATTATTCAGGAAGCGTCAAAGTCTTATTTAATGTGTGCAAAAATTTCTCTATTAGAATTTTATTAATAATTTAGATTTATTAGACACATGGAAATAGTAAAAAATACTTTAACTCTAATGAAAGTGTTCATAAGAATGGTGCTATAAAATGTTGGTCATGATATTCTACAGTAGAAGGAAACATTCTGTCAGCAAAAATTTTGTTATTGTTGCACATACATACATGTCTGTGTGCACACTTATGTAAATGCAGATTTTTCTCTTACCAATTTATTAATTAATTGTTTATATGAAATTATACACAATGATGGGCATATAAACAACCACACATAGATGACTTCTGCCAAATCATGGAGTTTTTGTGTGTATGGGGTTGTGGGACAGGACACATCATGCACAATCCTTTCTAGAATTCAGCAGAGTCAATGACAAATACATATGGAAGTAGCATGTTCCAAAGTAAGAGAGAAAGATGATCTTATTAGGCCTTATGAACTAGTTGTATAGCTTTTTAAAATCAAGTTATTCATAAGCCAAACATCATTTCCTGACTCACAAAAATCAATTGGAAATTGCTCATACTACTTAAAATTGTTACCTTTATCATCTGTAGGGTCTATAAATAATGAAGTATAATCATGTGAATAACTGTTTCCTACCTTCCAGTTCGGACAGATAAATTTTGACCCAAAAATCTCAACAAATAAGAAGGTCCATGGTCCCAAATGCAAGTAGCTGCCCAGGCCTCAGCAGATTTTGCAAGATTTTCATCCCAGACCTGTGGAAGTTAAGTAATCCTTCAGTTTTGCTGAATTTGTTTTAATAAACAAAAAGAAAGGAAAGAAACAATGCTCCTGTTTTAAGGAGTTCCTTCAATTCAGGGTCCTGTGATTATTGTAGCTAAAACAAAGTATTAATTATGAACTAAACATAACTATAATAAAGTAACTTCAAAGTTTTATAAAGGGTGCTATATAGATGAAGTACATTATATTTTAATCAAATTAAAAAATAAGAAAGGAAATTAGCAGAGAGTTACTAATATATATCTATATATATAGTCATATAAAGTAGGTTATTGTTATTTGAAAATGCATGCCAAAATTTGTATGACTCTTTGATTTCATAAATGTTTATATTAGTCACTATTCAGACTGGCATTCCCATCTCAATGACTGCATAGAGAGGTCAAGCAAGCCAGCAATGTAGGTGTGTCAACAATAAATTACCTCTGTAAAGATAGTCAATCAACTTTCTATTAAAGTATGAAACCACAAATATCAGTACTTCTACACAAAAGTCCTCTTCCATAAATTGGTATAGAATGTTAAACTAACAAATTTAATGTAAAACTATTTTACCCTATTACTTAAATAAACATTACAAAGATATGTTTTTCAGCTTTAATGGGTTTATCAAACATTTGTTTATCCATAAAAATTAGTTAAATATGGATTTCTGAACTATTGACTGTAGTTTATTGAAATATAAAACTACACAATCAATTCACTAAAAGGTGATATCATCCATCAACAGCATCTTTTGAAATATTAATCATAGTTATTTGAAAAATACATGTACACATTATATATTAACATGTACTGTTCTTCAGTTTAAAAAAAATACTTTATTACAATCAACTATATGAATCAAATATATGAATCACAGCATGGTACATATAGCACTGATATGAAACACAGTGGTCTTGTGTTTATGCTTATTTATGCTACTGAGATCAATGACTGGGGGCTCTCATTCATCATCTATCTGTCAGTTAACTCAGTCACAAAACTATAACACTGGAGGTGATGCCATCTTCAGATCCACAGTCTCATGATTTGGATATATATAAGTAGTCCCGGAAGCAGTGCCAAAATGAACTATATGGTACCGGCCAGTGACTGACCAGCACTACTGAGAATATACACTCTACAAAAACAATTCAAAATGTTCTTTCGGGAACTCACCAAGGCCAGCTGGTCTGGGTCTGAAAAAGCCTGGGTTAAAACCCGTCTCACTGAACATAGCGGACAATGAGGACTACTGAGACCTCAAGAACAATGGCAATGGGTTTTTGATCCTACTGTACGTATTGGCTTTGTGGGAGCCTAGGCAGTTTGGATGCTCACCTTACTAGACCTGGATGGAGGTGGGTGGTCCTTGGACTTCCCACAGGACAGAGAACCCTGATTGCTCTTTGGGCTGAC